TACATGTCATCTTGCTGTTGGGAAGGGAACATTGGAGAGTGGCCACTTCAATTTCGTCAATTTTAATGATAGATTCGAGAAGAACTTTAGCAACAGGTGCATCTAAGTTATTGCTGTCAACAACCATTCTAAGAGCCGTTCCTAGACCATTATTAGTCCATGCATTCAGGCAGCCGTCCCAACAAACCAACATTTTACTCACCATTCCAGGATCAGCAAGAACCCAGGGCTTGAAGGACTGCAAGGATAAATTTAGAATCTGTGCAACTCTGTAAATCTCCCCAAGAGCAATAAAGAATTGGCCACCTGTGAAACCAGCAGAAAGCATGTTATAGTCAATCTTCTTTTAAATGATCAGTGAGAAAGGAAATGATAAGCTCTGCTCATTGTTCCAAGTTTTTGCACCTTGGGAAATTACTACGCTGCAGACATTTGATTGACAGGATTCTTGCCAAAGCACCACACCATGCTGCAATTCTTGAGCACAGAACAGAAGCATTCTGTACCAGGCACGGACGTAATCACGTTGCTCCTCCTTGGATGCTTGCTCCAAGGTATGTAATGTTGACACGCTGTGCTTGTAGAGTTCAACTGCCAAACTCATGTCTTCCAGTGCTTATATTTGAGTATCAGATAAGAATTATAAAAATTTAATAACCCAAGAAAGATCGCATTATGACCCACGAAAACAAGAAGCAGAAGGTAGAATGGTAAACTGCAAGATTAACTGCACATATTGTATACTGAAACAAAGAAAAATTAGTTGTGTGCCATCTACAGATTTTCGTTGTTTTGTATAATCTACAGATCAGTTAGGAGGCAATTCTAATGCGGAATATGGAAAAGCACTAATCCATTCATTTCCACATAATTATGTTTATCACTTATAGAAAATTGTGCATGTGATTATTACATGCTATCCACCTAACAAAACAAGTGTATTGATCTCGAGTAACTTGAGAATAAATTGCAAGATTTGACCATCTAATGAAATAGTTTATTTTGGGTCTAGCTCAAGGAGGTAATTCCTAACAAGTACTAGTAATAAGATAGGCAGTGTGCCGAAACATTATATTCCCCATAGGAGAATGCATACCATCGGTATCTTTTCTATTAAATGATATTCTTCCTCAAAATCCTTCAAATGAACCTCTCTGGCACTGTCAAGCAGTTCAGAAATGAATACATCCTTTGCAGTATGTTCCTCTATACAAAAACCTTCAGGTAGTTTCTCACAGATTTCCTGGAGATTATGGAAAATGTTTAAATGACGGACTATATTAAATTCATTTTTTTTTGTGCCAAACAATAGTTTCAAGTGCTTGAGTGCGGAGCACACCTGAATCTCCCTTGCAATTGCTGAACTTCCCTGTTTTCATTAGAAAGCATAGAACTCTTCTGGACTCCATGTTATCAAATGAAAAGGCACTATCTTGTGTTGTTTTCCGTTCAAAAAAAATGTTATCAAATGAATTGCAAAATTACAAACAGAAAAATACCAGTGATTTATCAACTGAATGTAATCAGTGGTTACTGACCTTAAAATCCTTCCCATTCCGAAATATTACTGTCAGTGTTTCTTCCCTCAGCTTATGGTAGAAATCAATCAAAGTCCTATCGCTTGAAGATTTAATTGAATGATTTTCATCTGTTTCAAATGAAGAGTTCTGATCACTGATCATTAGTGTACATCACATGAAATTAAAAAGAGGGGGGTGATAGCAAACTCAAAATAGCAAAAATACTCACCATTTCATTATTTGAGAACATATCAGAAGGGCTCTGCACACTTTCTGAAGAACTTTGTGTCATGTGTACAGCATCAACCAGCTCAGTTTCTTTGTACAGGTCAAGTATGGCTGCATCATTAGGACCTGTGGACTTACAAGTTTCAATGTGGTTTGTAGTTCGAACATGGTTCAAATTTTCATCCACACTAGTAAATAGTGACCAGTCTTCTGTCAGGAATGATGGTGATGATGCTCTGCCGCAAGACAATGGCGCCAAGACTCTGTTTGATGGTGATGAGAACGAAGGAGGAAGGAAGGACTTATCACCACAGAGGAAGCGGGCCAGGTTTCCTAACAAACTTTTGAGTGGGCCTGAATGGGCTAAGTAGCTGGCAAGAGAGGAGAGGTGGCGTGAGTGAGTGGTGCTGTATTAATACTCGAACTCTTGTAACGAATTACTTGACTAATAGAATCTGGAGGCAATTGGCGGCGGAGGATGCAATCCGGTTGGATTGGCGTGAGAGAAATCTCATCTGTGAAAATTGTTCTTGCTTGCAAGTTAGGTAGCTAACATCTTCCTGGTCACTTCCCAATGATTTTGGTACATCCTGTAATGACGAAATTATTCAGACCAATCAATGGAGGAAGCCATAGCCATATCAAGACTTAATACAAAGAGAAAAGGTTTAGAAAGAAGTAATGATAGGATTTGCAATGCTAGAATATACTATCAAAGAAGTATATTCACTTGTTTTTTTGCGGGAACTACAAAAAAAGGGTTATTTGTGAATTAAAAAAATGAATTCCTGCCTAATTCTACAACACCTATAACAATTTCCAAGTAGAATTAATAAGTTGCTAAGGCAGAGCTTCACACTTGATACAGATACAGAATGTAAGAGGAAAAAAGTTATCACATCCCTTTAGGAAGCTTGATCATTCAATTTGAACATTATAATCATGATTTATTGATTCAGTTTTGTGAGACTGGTCGCGACGTCCGTTTCAGCAAAGGTTATCTTCATCTCTGCAATTTTCTAAGTGGGCTAGACTATCTGAGCCTACCTTTCCTTTATCACCAGTTTGCCTTTGGTAAAATGCCTTAAGTAAACAGTTTCCACATAATACTATCTCACGCGGGCGGCTCGGGGAGCGAAAAACCCTAGCCGCCCGCGCCTCCATCCCTTCCCCCCCCCCCCCCACCTCGCCGCCGCCGGAGCTTGCCGGCGGCAAAGCCGGCAGCGAGCAGGGAAGGCGGCGGCGAGGCCTTCTTTGTGGCGTTCTCCCTCCTCGGCGCGACGTGGACGAGATGATGACGAAGCTCCCCACCGGCGTGGTCAAAGGCGGCAACGGCGGGGATGTGTGGGGAGGCGGCGGATCCGGCGCCCCCAAGGCCGGATCCGGCCATCCCCCGCCTGGAGCTGGCGCGGCGGCGGCGCGAGGCGGCTGGGCGGCATGCGACCGTGGTGGCGGCGCGCGGCTGCCGAGCGGCGTGGTGGCGTGCGGCCGTGGTGGTGGGGCGCGGCGGCTGGCGTTCTCCCTCCTCCGCGTCAGAGGCGGCGACGACGGGCGTTCTGCTCCTCCACGTCAGAAGCGGTGATGGCTGGCGTTCTGCCGAGCAGCGCCGTCCCAGGCGTGGAGGCTGCTAGGCGACGTGCGGCCGTCGTGGCAGCGGTGCGCGTAGCCAAGCGGCACGGCGGCGGTGTTCCGGGCGCGGCGGCCGTGCCTCGCCGGTGTGAGCGCGAGCGGCCAGGCCTCGGTGGCTGGGCAACCGATGCCGCCGTGGTGGCCAGGTGGGGAGCGGCGGCCGGGCAATGGGAGCGCCGGCGGGTGGCACCGGAGCCAAAGCGGCAATGTTTCCGGCGTCGGCGCAGGCCCAGATGGTTGTGCTAAGGGAGCTGGCGGCGATAGGTCGTCTTCCTCGTTGCCGGTCAGCACCCTCACCCTTCCTAGAGCTCCTCCCCTTCTCTGTGGGGAGTTTCTAAGCTGGATTGAGGCGGCAGCTTGTTAGCGGGAGAAGCTCAGGCTGCTGAAGCAATGCCATCCAATCCCGGGTTCTCCTTCGGCCAGATCTGGCGAGGAGGCCGGCGGGTGGTGGAACGGAGAGGTCCTGGGCCAGTTCTCAGGGATGGTGGTTCGATGAAGCCGGCCGACAGAGGGGCGTCGGTCGGGTATGGCGGAAGCCATGTGCTGCCGATGTTCAGATGGTGGATTCGGATTGGGTGACGTACCATGGTGGTAGGGGGTTCCGAGCGAAAGCTTAGCCCAATTCTTTGGGCCAACAGTGACTTTGCCTTCGGGCATAGTAACCCTCTTGAGGGCACTGTTGAGGTATCCCTCCTCCCTCGGCAAGGAGCTCTGGGTGAAAACCTTGTCCAGTCTTTGGATGGATGACGTCGGCGTCTTTTGGCGTCGTGACCCTCGTGAGGGCGTTGTTTTGGAGTCTTCGTGTCGTAGTGGTGTCGTTAGCTCGGTGGCGATCGGTCTCGCATAGTGATGGCCGGTTCGGTGCTTGGCTTTCCTCTCTGTAGTGTGTGTTTGGACGGTTGACACATGGTTTGGGGCGTGTGCTCTGGTGCACATCCTTTCTCGACAGCCAGCTGTCGATGTAAAACGTACATCCTTTCTGCCAGCTGTCGATGTAAAACTTTTCTTGTAACTTTTTCTTTCCATCTTAATTACATTGAATGACCTTTGAATGACCTCCTTTGGTCATTCCGGCAATATAAATAGGCACAGCATTATGTTTTTTTTTCTTGTTAAATTGAACTGTTTCGTATGATTTTACATTTGAGTATTGATCATGTACGTTTGGTGGGAATGAATTTTGCATACTACCCCGGGTTTAAATATACGGCATCCTTAACTTCTTTTAATTTATTTTCGTTTTTTTAAAAAATATTTATATAAATTAGACAAATATAAAAAAGCATGCTAAAAGTACTTTTGATGGGTCATCTATTATCACTCTTTTCATTTTTACTTACCTAAGTAATTAAATAAACATTGTCGATCAAAGTTTAAGAAAAAAAATAAATAGTGCTGCATTTAGAAAGGGAGTGAGTGTGCTGTTCCTCCGATGAAAGCAAATGGATCCTTGACGTTGAGTGAAGGAATCCCTTGCATTCATAGGCAAACAATGCTTATTTCAAACTTCATTCGAAGGTAATTTGCAAAAGATAAAAACCTTCCCTTCAAGGTATTCCTAATGGACTAAAAGTTCTAAACATCAACGCAAATAAATAAATGAAATCAAGGGACGCCTTGTCGTTGTCGCCTACTCGCCTTGAGTAGAAACTATAGCATCAAGCCACATATTGTTCAAAAAAAGTGTACCCACAAGCAAAAGGTTAAAAGCTCTATACGAACCATAGCTCCAATGCTCACGAAGCACAAAAATGTCAGGAGTTTCTAACAACAATATTTGACACCGATTGCGTGCTGCACAACTCGAATTTCCAACCTACAGTACAAGATGGTCAATACTGCATAATTTTTCCAGTAAAACATGTCCTATCCCTACTCATCCTTGCGTTTGAACAGTTTAACAAGATAGCCAATTAAGGAGACCAGCCATCGCCAGAAGAGAACTAGGAAATTTGACGCCTTCGGTTTGGGTTCAGGCCTTGGCCCGAACAGACCTTTGTATAGCTCCTTTTGTTTCTGGTACAGAGCTTTATCCTGCTCCGCGAGCGACCGAAGCTCGCGCTGGATCTCCTTGTCTTCTGGAGAATACTTCTTGGCCTTCAGGAAGTCCTCCCTTGCTGATTCTGTTTGACCAAGTTCAGCTCTAGCTTTTCCTCGTCTGAACAACGCTTTCACGTTGTTTTCATCCTCTGACAACACCTGAAGAATGAGATTATGCAGTTGATCATGATCAGCAATTCTTTGATTCTTATTCAAATGGTCAATCAACAGGTCCGTGAATCAATACAAAACCAAAATCATGGTTGTTTTACACAAATGAGTTGGAAAAGATTACACAAGTACACTAAGATCAGAAGAGTGTCTTTCATGAAGAATCATGGACAAATATTTCTCCCTGCTTTAGCCATATGCCTGTTTTCCATATTTATTTTGCAAATTTTTAGTGTCTGAATGACAAATCAAATTCAGTTTTTTCTTGTGTTATACATGTAATGTTAAAGCATGAGTGTAAGAGTAAATTTTATGCAATGTAGAAGAATAACATACAATTGTACACTGTGCGATAGCTTCATCAAATCTCTTCAGTTTGATCAGGCATGCGGCCATGTTGAGATGGCAGGGATTTTTCACAGCTAAGGCCATGTCTCTGTACTTCCCAAACAATTGAAACATGAAATCATCCCCCATGTATGCAATTGCCTGTAAAGAAGAACAGCTAGGGGGATTATGATTGAGCATCTTACAATAGCTGAAGAATGACATCAGTAGACAACTAACCATTTCATATTGCTGCATAGCCTCCTCGAACTTCTTTTCTTTGAAATATTCATTGCCTTCAATCTTCCTCCTGTCTGCTGCTTCAATCCTTTCTTCCACTGTCATATCACTTCGGGCTTTTCCCTGTAGTTTTACATTATCTGTAAGCTTCCTAGGAACCTTTGGTTCACAAATATTTTTTTAAAAAAAATCAAAATCAAGGGTGATAAGAGGGATATTTATCCTACCTCTTTGACATCATCAAACCCAATAAGTTCAACTTCATATACAAGGTCTGCCATTGGAGGGACATTTGGGAATGAAAAGCTTCCTTCTTTCCCATAGCCAAGCTCCCAGTTAACATGTAACAATGCACGCTCCCCACTTCTCATGTTACTGACACCAATGCCTAAACCAGTCATTTCCTTTTTCTCTGTTGATGAGAAGAAAAAAAAAAGCTTCAAAGATTTATACTAAAGGCAAGTGTAATTGATGCTCACGTCTGTTCGTACAATACTACTCGGTTAGTTATCTAGTTACCCTGTCCAGCAGATTTATTGAGGCATGAAAAAGAGGAGGTAAAATTACTAGCAATAGAAATATCATACTTCGTCTTTAGCCTTTGCAAGGTGAGGCAAGTGGGAAAGTTACTGGTGGGAAAAGTTTTTTCCCCCTCAAAAACCTCATTTTGATTGGCATTATGGAACTATGTGATGCAAAGTAAGCTGTTTGAGTTCATGGAATTTACGGATGATATGCATATGTGCACAGAAAAGCTGAGGATAAAATAAAGGAATTAACTTTAGTGTTACCTTTTCCAAGTACTAGTTCAATTGAATGCTGTTCTTGCCAAGTATCCTCGAATTTGTGCGAAGAACCTTGAACCCATGCTCTATAGTGAACTGCAAGACAAAGATTGGGAAAAAAATAATTTGCAAAATCAGGTATAATATATTATCCTCATTCTAATCACAATCCTAAGCAAATGGAACAAACTGACTACTTATGGCATACTTACCAAAGCATGTGGCAAACCTTGAGGGTTTCTTGCCATGGCCTTCCTTGATGACTTGCTTTTTGACTTTATCATTAAGGACTTCCATATCAGAGGTAACCACAGGTGGAGCAGTGCCATCTTGAGGAGGCTCAGTATGCACAAAGGAAGTTTCTTCCACTGTTATCTCATCATCGCTAGCACCTAAACAACCAAAACACATGTTCAGACATAGTACTGAATTTCTTGAATAAGACAATTCACTGTTCTGTAGTGTGGCCATTTTATAAAGGAGATTCAAAGTACTGTGAACTACATCCAACATCAAACATTTGATGCGCCCCAGTTTTTTGGGGAATACACAAAAGGATTGCGCATCATTCGATGTGGGACTAACCCAACACGGAAGATATACTTACAGTTTTCTAGATGTGCGCCCATGGATACAGGAGTATTTACATCTGTTTTGCTTAGAAACACCATAGGCCAAAGGTCCCAGTGCTACACCATCTATGCCTATGTACTTATATGGTGTAGTGTCAACTACTCAATCAAGTAGCATAACCTAACCCTGTAAAGCATGAATCATGTGCCAAGAACAGCTAGGTTACTGTTTAGTTGGTACGTTACATAATTGCATTGCACTTGTATAAATCTTAGAGACTTTTAGCAACTCCAGAAAATTGGACAGATTTATCAGAACTAATTGTCGGTACTATCGTCAAAATCAACGGGATATGACATAATATGCTGTCATGCCATAATAATCCCGCCTAACTGCTTACAAACTACTCCAGTAGTATTGAAGTGCACACTCGATAGCACTTGATTCGAGCATTCGGGGTTCATTCGGCAAGGTGCAAACTGCAAAATGATTTGAATTTGAGATGAATTTGGCGTCCTCAAGAGACTGAATCTAGTTTAAACCCAAACCGGACATTTTACAACCAAAGGCGCCTAATTTTCCGAATCCCATAAAAAAGCACATATATGCTACGATTCCGCACGGGGATTCAAAACAACAGCCTGCCGAACCAACCGATCCAACTCACCACACCAAACACAAGACAGACACGCCCCCAGGGTGTAGGGAGTGCGAGAGAAAGCGGGAGACTCACTCACCGGAGGTAGAATCGGCGGCGGGTACCGGGGCCGGATCTTCTTCCAGCACGGCCATCGGTGCGGGACGGCGGGCAGGCGGCTGGTCCGCGGATTTGGAGGCGGATGGCTCGAGGAGACGAGAGCTTAGCTCGGCACTTCACCGGGGGATCGTGCAGCGCGACGACGTGGTGTTCCCTCTTCACTTTCACTTGGGTGGTCCATCCAGTCCAAGGACGGCAGCGAAGACAGAGAGGTGGATGAGAGAGATGACGAGCCGCATTCGTACCTTCGTGGGCTTCATTCAACTTCTAACTCGTTGCCAAGCCCAACTACTCAGTATGGTCCATGTGCTACTATGGATCTGTTTGTTGAATTTTTGTTATATTTTTTTGACCTTTTTTATTTTTAATTTTAAAAATAAACCCTTCCAAAAACTTATTTTCAAAATCTGAACATTTAGGCCACGCTCTGGAGTGGCAAAACAACACTGACACACCACCTGCAGCGCCGTGACAATCTTGTAATATCATGACAGCGAGAGCAGTGTGATCAGATAACGTTGTTACGCTAGCAAGACCGGCATGGCCAAATAACACTGTCATGATAGTGAGACCGGTGTGGTAGTATTATTTTGCCACGCTAGTTCGACTGGCATGGCCAAAAAGATTATATCTTGAAAATAAGTTTGGAAGGGTTTATTTTTAAAATTATAGATTAAAAATGTTTCAAAAATAAAAAAAATTATTTGGAAGCTTAAGATCATGAGAAAATAGCTGGTTTATAGGGATCTGTAGAAACTCCCAAAACAATGGTCACAAGAAAATTAGAATTGAAAAAAAATGATACAAGAAAAATAGAAAACAGAACTATTCACGTGAAATTTCGATTGGAAACCAATAATATGACCACATGGGTTAATGCTTACAACTATGCAAATTGTGAACGCTATGGGACAAACAGAAACATAACCAAATGAGGTAGTTAGTGTTAAGTATGCGATAGTCAAGAATATAGGGATAAGAAATACTAGGATACAAATTAATCCATTCCAGTAAGAAATATAGTAACTACCGGATTACGGTTTGAGAAGACAGTAAACCAAGAAAACGGTCGATAAAATAGCAAGACTATATCTTTTTTTTCCCCATTTCTGCTTCTCATGATTTCTCATGGTTACCCTGCAACACTTTTAGTTTTTCACCCCTAATTATCACCGTCAACGCCCGCTAGACGGGGCAGGGACAACCGGACAAGACAACCAAGCGTAATAATACTACCAAACAACGAACATGCAGAGATAAACCAAAATTAAGCGGAGTCTGCTACATGTGCGCTCACAAATGAGAAGTCAGAACCATATGCGTCAGCAAACAAATTCTTCAAATTACATAGTAGTACACAACTGAAACAAGCTGCCCATTTCGCAGCTGCTATATATTTACACCAATCATTCTGTATGAAACACACAAATCACCGTCATAATACAGGCTAAGCTATTGTTACCATGACCGGATATACACTTGGATGTAGAGGTTGCAATGATTTTCACTATCGGAAAAAAAAAAAGAGCTACTGTTACCTTTGCCCAGCTCTTTTCGCTAACCTCCGCAATTGAAAATCACAGCACAGTGGTGCAGCTTAACTTCTTGCCAACCAAACTGTACTAATGTACTACCAAAAATGTGTCCTCCCCAGCTCAGCTACCTAGCTTATGAGTTATGAAAGCTTTGCTTCAGTAAGAGAGGACATGGCCATCCAGCAGTACTCCTTTGGCTTTTATCACCCAGTGTTGAGTCTTTTAGCTCCCACACTTGAAACATTGTGGGGCATCACCATCTTTCTTCTCAAGAACAAGGCATAGAGGAGTTCATTCCATGCATCAGGGACACCAGGCAGGCACCAGTGGCTGCAATCCTGCCTGTGATGAGATGCAGGCCCTGAAGGACTCAGGTACACCGAGAGGTGCCCGTCTTTACGCAGAGCTGTCATCTGAGTCACATTCAGTATATCCAGCCCGACAAGCTTGGTCGTGATGCTGTTCCCCAGTACATGATTTATGGGTTCAAGCAGGTCAGCCCACGGTTCCAGCGATTTAATTGGAGTTACATCTGGTAGAGTTTCCAAGTGGCAGGTCCCTCCAGTCTTCCAGTCACCACCTCTGTAAGAAATATCTAATCTAGTTAAAGAAATAGTTTGACTGAATATTTGAAAGATACTATGATGTTTGTTCACAAGTCCAACAATAAATACCATCAGCATTGTTTCATGATGCTAACAATATATTGGCACAATTCACATAAAACAATGAAACAATGTATGGTCAAAAGCATCTGATATCATTCGATACAACATACACAATCAATCAAGACTGTCAAATAATGTTTGAGCAAGGAATTAAAACCAAGGGAAACACTCACTATTTGAGTAATTAGAGTTGGTGATTCACAGACCTGAAATGCACAGGAGCATATGTACGGAAGATGATCTGGGTCTTGTTTGTGTTAACTTCATTGCGAAGCCAATGAAACAATGTCTGCATGGATCTTTGGTAAGCATCTCTAACAGTCATCTCCATTTTGACCTCGTTGCCTTCTTGGAAATAGGCGCCACTGGTGCAAGACATAACAGTAAGAATAGCATGATCTCTCAGCCATAAGACATTAAGTAGAGAATGCTGTTCAGTCAATAGAATTCAAACATTTATGCTTACCCTTTGATTGTTTTCTCATGGTTCCACCAGTGCCCCGTGTTAAAGATCAAAAGATCAGCATCCTTCCACTTACCCCGGCCAGACATCCAATCCATGGCATCTACTCTAATTGTATATTTTACGACTGCAGGGGCTCCAGCTGGTGCACGACCTTGAAGGACTATGAAAGGAGACCTGTAATACTCCACAGTGCAATTGTACTCTCTAAACTTGAAAATTAAGAAACCCATGTGTTTTGTAATAGGATTCCCATTAACTTCAAAGATGGAGCTCTTGTCAGGAACAGCAGCAGCGAGCATACAAAGCAGAGACTCCCATTGGTTTCTTGCAATCGAATCCCCAACAAATACAACTCTTCTGTTTCTGAGTTTCTCTAGCATATTTCTGGCATTAAATCTAAGAAACAGAAAAGGAGACGAAATTAGAGTGAGACACCAGCATTGCTAATATGGGCATTTGAATTTATTGATAATGGTACATCTCAGTCCACAGGTATCAAGGGAGTACCATACAAGGTCACAAAATAATGAACTTACAAGGTCACAAGCATGCTCTTTCCTTATAAAATAATTCACTGAGAAATCAAAAGGCATGCAATACATTAAAAAACATAAGTACAACGAGATTATGCTTCTAACAAAAAAATGCGAGTCCTTTTACATGGTACTATGTAACACATCCCTAATGTTATAATATTCCACCTTTGCAAAATTTCATACAATTAGCACTTATGAAGGATGACAAACTTACCCTCCAAGTATAGCTACTGACATTTATGGTGACAAGAATCAAGATTAAATATTCTTTTCAAAAGGTAGAAATCTAATCTTGGAACCACTTTACTTTTCCAAATTGAATCAAGCAACCACTTAACTGCAACAAAGGCAGTTAGAACACAACAAAACAGAGCCCTCAACAATTAACAGGACAAGACCACCTCTCCATCGAAGGTAAAGATGATTGCAACAGCATGACAGTCGCAGATCAAGTAAACAATACTGATTTAATAAAATATATCTTCTGCAGGACTAAGCAATAACCATACGGGTAACATTGTTTCCTACTTTTGTAATCATGTGGGAAGCAAAAGGGCATCGAATTTCCAATCGTGGCGCACAGTTCCAAAGTGGAGTTGGTCGTTGACAGCATCATGATCATCCCATGTTCCAATAATCTAATTTTAACCAGGGTGAAGATTGTAAAATGCACGCCCACTGATCCAATCTCAGCAAGAATATCCCACTGGAAGATTGAAGTCAGAAGCACTAACCCAAACTTAATCCTCATCATGCCAGCAGAGCAGCATGTTTGGGTTCTAGATTCAACCCAAGTTTATTTAAGTCCGTCTTAATTTCTTTGCCTTTATAAGTTAACACTCAAGTTGTAGAACATTCCAGCAGACAAAATTAAGTAGCACGGTCTCCAATCCACATCTCCTTAATTAATTTATACTAATCAATTAATCATTCGCCATCTCCGCACCGTTCTAGATGCTTGGATTGCAGCAAGAGATCTCATTAAAGATTTCTTCATTGATCTTCGTCAAGCTCTCGAAGTAAACATTTACTAAAATCGATTTCTATCTAAACCTCCAAACTCGCCACCCCAATCCAACAATGGAATCAATGGAAGCATAATATGCAAGAGTACCAAAGATGAGAGGAAGAAGTAGAAATCGATGGAAGAGGAGGAAGCAAACCCAACCTGGGGAGATCGCAGCGGGAGGGGCGCCATCGCCACTTGGTGTAGGAGTCGTCGGGGCGGCCGTTCTCGGAGCAGCGGAAGCCGACGTCGAGGAAGGGGCAATCCCTGGAGGCGTAGAGCGGGTAGCCGTCGTCCCACACCCACTCCCCGTCGAACAGGTCGCACTCCTCGCCTCCGCCGCCTCCGCCGGCGCCGCCGCCGCGGGGCTCCTCGATGGAGACCCCGCCGCTGAGGAGCTTCTTGGGCGCCGCCAGCGCCGAGCCGACGGCGGCCGAGCAGCGGAGCGAGGCGGCGCACACGAGCAGGAGCAGCGCGGCGGCGGCGGCCAGCATCGCGACCAGCCCCGCCGCCCCGGCCTTCTCCAGCGGCCTCCTCATCACCCCCCGCGCCAGCCGCTTCGCCGCCGACGTCGACCCCACCATCATCGCATCGATCGATCCCCCCACCGACGAAGCAGTAGCACCGGCACTAGTAGTACCACTACTACTACCTGTATACTACCTCGCCATGGCCATGGAGCTTACGCGCGCGGGAGGAGGGGAGACGAGACGAGGTGGCGGAGAGGAGGAGGAGACGGAGACACCTCGAGGGAGAAGACGAGGAGGTATTTATGAGGAGGTCATTTGAAAGGGAAATGCACGGAGTTTGGCTGCTTCCAATTGGACGGAAAGCAATGTGATTACTATTTCCCTATTTCATAATATATAAGTTATTATAGCATTTCTTACATTTATATTAATATTAATGACTTACATTGTAAAATGGAGGGAGTAGTACTCCTCTCCATCCTATAAAAAAAACTACTTAACCTAATATTGAAAGAAAAATTTTCTAATACAACAAATCAGAACAGATAGAAACTCATCCAATACTAAATTATTTTTCCAATACAACAAATCAGAACGGATAGAAACTCATCCAATACTAAATTATTTTTTTTAAAGTAGAACTTAACCTATTACTAATATAATATCGTTTCGATTCAGGAAATATTATATTTTATAGTAGATTAATATATTTTTGAGACGAAGTAAGTACAAATTAGTAGTGTGGTTTGTGGCAATTGTGTTGTGCGTGTGGAGAGGGGAAGGAAGAAGTGGATGGGAGGGGGAGGGTTGAAGTTGAGGTGTGGGGCCTATAAATTCGGCTGTGTTTGGAGGGGTTAAGTATGAGTCAAGTCAAGCACGATCTATCCCTCGGTCATCAAAAAATACTTGCTTTAGGTCGAGCGCAAGTTAAATTTGATTACCATCTGTCTAATATAATGTCAAAAGATGTACTGGTATTTTATTTTAAAAAAACTTTGTTTAATTTTAGGCCGCTACCTTTTAACCACATCGATCATTTTCGATCGGGGCAGTTGCTAAACCATTTTCACACAAGCTTCATTGTCCTTGTTGGCTTGTGAAAAATCTAGAACTCTATTTTTTGACTACAGAGAGTACGTCTACTTGTGTGATGGTAACGATTCCTTTTGGTCCTTCCCACGTTTTGTTTTTAACTGCGTTGTTAGACTGTATTGCGTATAGATTGTGACAACCATCGAGTTTGTAATCAAAGATAATTGATTTTGGTGGGGATTAGTAGTAGTAGTGTGGGTTGGGGCAAAGAATGATGCATCGAAAGATGATGAGGGTGTTACGAAAGCAAGGTTGTTGGCTTGTCCTTGTACGCAACGCAAACGCAATCAAGTTTAATCCACCTGGTCATCTCGATAACAGCAAATACACTACTAAACGAGCCATGATCCAAAACCAATCTTTTTTTTTTTTTGGAATAAGTTCACCAGAGGTTCCTCAACTTAACAACGAGATTTTTTAAAATCCCTCAATTACAAAACTAGAAATATTCATTCCTAAACTCACTCAAACCGTTCACCGGAGGTCCCATGACAGTATTTGCACCTGGTTTTATTGACGTGGCATCCTAGTCAGAAAAAAAATAATAATAATATGTGGGGCCCACATGTAAGTGAGAGAAAAATGTGGGGTCAATAATCCAGTCAGCAATCTTCTTCTCAGTCGCCGTTTTCTTTGCCACGGATGGGGAGCGGTAGTGGCTCGCGGCCGGAGGCAGGCGGAGCGGCGGGCAACCGCGGCGGTGGCGGGCGAGCGACGGCTCTGGGCACGGGAGGAGCAAAGGGGCGGGTGAGCGGCGACCGCGGAGCATCGGCGGTGGTAGGCGAGCGCGGCTGCGGAGCATCGGCGTTGGCGGCGGCAAGCGGTGGGCAAGTGTGGCAGCGGGCGAGCGGCGGCTCCGGGTCGCCGCCATCAGAGTTAATACCGAGGGAGAAGGAGGGTACGTTGGGAGCCTCATAACTTCGCCGTTGCTCCTCCCGGCGGCGCTCCTTATCGCCGTCGCTGTCGGAGTCGATGCCGAGAAAGAAGGATGGCGCATCGGGAGCCTCATAACGCTTTTGTTCCTCCCCTCCATTGCCGCCGTCGGTGAGGTGGGACTCGTCGCCGTCGCCCTCGAAATCGATTTCGGCAGAGGGGGGACCGGCGGCGGACGAGCGCGATAGAGGGGAGAGCGGCGGCGAGCAAGCGCGGAAGAGGGGGGACCGGCGGCGGGGCGGAGCGGCCGGAATAGGCCGGCAGAGGGGGGACGGCGGCGGCGCCTGCGATGCCTCCGCCGACTCCGCACCGAGTCGAGCGTGCACCGTCTCTCTCCCCTCTCCCACCATCGCCGCCCCTACTCATCGCCGTCGCCGGCGTCTGCATCGGCCTCTTATCCGCCGCCGAGCTCGCCATCGCGCCAGCCGTCTCTTTCCCCCTCTCCCGCCGCCGCAGCCCCTGCTCCGCCGCCGGCCGCCTCACATCGAGTCTACCACCGCGCCTACTCAAGAGAAGGAGAGAAGAGAAGAGAAAAAGAAAAGAAAGAGAGATGTGGGGCTACATCATTTTCTCTCACTTACATGTGGGCCCCCACATATTTATTTTTTTATTTTTTGCTGACTAGGATGCCACGTCAGCAAAACCGGGAGCAAATACTACCATGGGACCTCCAGTGAACGGTTTGAGTGAGTTTAGGGGTGAACATTTCTAGTTTTATAGTTGAGGGATCTCAAAATAATCTCGCTGTTAAGTTGAGGGACCTCCGGTGAACTTATTCCTTTTTTTTTGGGCCAAAGCCTTGTCCCTACACAAGCCTAGTTAGTTAGCCTAGGAAAAGTACACCGAAGGTCCATCAACTTGTAATCGGGTTACAAAATCACCCCCAACCACAAAACCGTTCATTTTAGGTACCGTTCATTTTAGGTTCCTCGGTGGTTTTGACCCGGTTTTATCCAACGTGGCGGCTGAGTCAGCGTGGGGAGGAGGCCTGCATGTCAGACAGTCCACGTCAGCCACTTCTTACCCTCCCTTTCAACTCACTTCCTCTCTCCTCTCCTCTCCACGTCGATGGCCGGCGGAGAGCAGCCAGGGCGCGACAGGACAGTGTGACGAGCGCGGTCGTCGGTGCAACAGAGGAGCACGTCGCGGTCGAGCGCCGCCATGGCCTCCCTTGTCTCTGACGCGCCTTCATCACCGCTATGGCCTCCCTTGTCTTCACCGCGTAGAGCGAGGAGCGTGCGGGCGAAGTGATGCACGAGGCGGTCACTAACCTCGCCCCGAGGGCCGGCGGCGGCAAGCACGGCATCCGCGACACGGCGTGCCCCATCGAAGTCCCCCCGGTCGACGAGGTCAGAGCACGCGAGCTCTGCAGAGGTTGGTCGGCTGGTGGGGAGGAGGCCTGCGAGGTGAGGCGGAACCGTCGGCGAAGTCCTGTAAGCCATCGCAGCCCACCACCGCCACACCCTCGCTCCTGCACGCGGCAGGACGCTCGTCCGCACGGCCTGCCAGGACCCGACCAGCGCGAGGATGCCGTGCAGTTGCTCCCCTGCTGGACGCCGCCCGCTGCAGATCTGGCGCCCGCGCCTCAACGGCGGCGGTGTTGGGGAGGCCCTCCTGCTCCGGCGGCGTGGGAGGACGAGGCGGAGGCGGATGGCGCCGACGGGGAGAGGAAGGATGCCGCCGTCGTCATCCATGGCCGCACGTGGAGAGACGATGGAGGCTGGCGGTGTGGGAGGGCAAGCACGGGTTGACGAGGCGGAGGCAGATGGCGCCAACAGGGAGAGGGAGGTCGCCGCCGTCGTCATCCATGTCCGCACTTGGAGAGACGATGGAGGCTGGCGGCATGGGTGGACGAGGCGGAGGCGGATGGCGCCGACGGGGAGAGGGAAGTCGCCGCCGTCGTCATCCATGGCGACACGTGGAAAGGCGACGGAGGCCGGCGGCGTGGGAGGGCGGGCGCGGGAGGACGAGGCGGATGCGGATGGTGCCGACGGGGAGCGCGAGGACGTCCTGCTCCCACATCGTCGCGGCTGCCGCCGGTCGCCGGCCTCCCGACATCCTCCTCTCCTGCCTGGCGCCCTCGCCCCGCCGGCCGTCTTGCTCGGATTGAGAAGAAAAGGTGAGAGAGGAGGAAGGGGGAGAAGAGGTGAAAGAGAGTGATGACGTGAACAACCTGACATGTGGGGCCCACGTGGGTCCCACGCTGACTCAGCCATCACGTCGGACAAAACTGGGGTCAAAACCACCGAGGGACCTAAAATGAACGATTTTGTAAGATGAGGGATGTCATATATCTGATTTTGTGGTTGGGGACGATTTTGTAACTCGATTGCAAGTTGAGGGGCCTTCGGTGTACTTTTTCCGTTAGCCTACTCAGACCCAGTCACTTCTGGGCCAGGCCGTGATACCATAGCCTTCTTATGGGCCGTATAAGCCCAAACACTGCCTCCTCGTGGGCCTATTGGGCTAATACTCCAAGGCCCAACTAGCTCCCACTCCATCAGTCCACAAGTCACCATTTCACCAACCACCTCGAGTAGGTAACCGGCGGCGGCAGTTTGACGGCGGGCGCCGTGCCAACTCCGGCGTCCTCCTGCCGCCACCGCAGTTCGACACCTCCGCCCATCCACGACGAGACACAGGTATACGGCGCTATTCCTCTCCACCCCAGTAACCACAGATTGGGAGCAGATCACACGAAGGAATTGTGTGAAAGGACTGGACAAATTTGTTTCTTCGTCAGGCTTGAGAGTTCAGAAGCAGGTGAGAACACTTGTATAGTTTCTACGACCTCTTCTTCTTCTTTACCGGAATCATCAGGGATCAAGGATTTTGTCTGCATCACGGCTGTACATTGATGAATCCAATTGCACTAGTCCATGTCTCTCTAAAGTCAGGCCATGAAATGCCATCACGCTTGAGAATCTAGCAACTTTTGCTTTGCTAGCTATCTATCCAGTCCAGGGTACGTGGAGTAGTTGGTTGGCCTTTCTATCATCTTTTAATTCGCTGCCATGACGGTTGAGGTAGACAGCATTCTATCTGCACCTGCATTATTGTTGATCCCTTTCTCGTCGTTTTTTTGGTTTTGTTTTGTTAGAGCAGGTAAAACAGCAAACTATAAATCAGATATAACCACATATCAAAAAGAAAAAAGAAGAGAGAGAAGAAAGCAGGCTACAGATTTGTAGCCGGCTGCAACACAGACTTCAAAACGTTATGTGTGTATGAGAGGTAGGACCGGGCATTAATGGTGTAGTATATTTTTATAATTAACTATTATAAGAATAGACTATTAGATTAGCTATAGATGATTTGGAGTCAGTAGCTGGCTATACTATTAAACTTGCTCTTATCTTTCTATCTTTTTGACCTTTTAGCAGCCAGTTGAAGCTAGACATGTTCACCCATAAGCATGTGAAAATGGAAATAATAAATTAAACAATAGGACTAATGTAAAGGTGTCCAATTATAAAATGATATGCAAAATCATCTAAGTTTCCGTAACCGCAGCCACCTTGGAAGAATCGTGGACTAGGAATAGAGTATTTGTCTGATTTGGACTTTGGAAACTATGGGCACATATACCGTTCCACGCATAGTTCCCCCGAGATGATCGCATAAGATGCATCGTCCAAGTATGAATCAAGAACAAACTAATTAGAGCCATTTTGGTTTGAAGTTAAAATACACCCCTACCAAATTATTGGCACTTTAAATAGTATTTTGGTTAGTGTTTGGTTTTGCTACTAAAATGTGACAATAACATATATAACTTGCCAAAACTTGGGCCATAACAAAAGTTTGCTTAGGTTTTGGCATGGTGGCAAACCATGCAAATTCTAAGGAATCACATTAAAGAGGCTTAGTGCTCCCTGAAAAGGTGCTCACTTCATTCTATTTTACCTGTTGTTTTAGGACATGTTATATACGTTAATTTGATCATTGTCTTTTTGACTATATATTCAATAAATATTATATAACTGCATGAAAATATCTTTATTGATAAATCTTTTTTTAATGAACGCAAAAGATTTGCTTCCATTAAGCAAAGACAAAAAAAACAGTCTTCTGATAAATTATGTCATGTCTTTTTCACATATTAATTTTTAAAGTAAATTTCACAAAACTACAGATATTTGACTAAATTATCACAAAACTATAGATTTAAGGTGATTTATCACAAAACTACAGATTTAACAATAAATTTATCAGAAAACTATAGATTTTAGGCTAAGTATCGCTAAACTATGGATTTACTAATGAAATTATCACAAAACTATATATTTTGGGTTCAAATCCTTAGCACTAATGCTATGTTTGAGTTATATATATCTAAGTTTTGTGATTAAATTGATATTAAATATGTAATTCTGTGATAACTTTGTTACTAAATATGTAGTTTTACGATTTTCCACTTAAACTGTAGTTATGTGGTAAATTTAGTGTTAAATCTATAGTTTTGTGATACATCATGTTAAATTTGTAGTTTTATGAAATTTACTCTAATTTGTAATATTGAAAATATCAAGAGTTTACTCCTTGCGTTTTATGTTATAAGTCGCTTTGACTTTTTTAAAGTCAAACATTTTTAATGTTCTATCAAGTTTAAAAAAAATATAGCAACTTTCATATCACTAAATTAGTTTTAGTAAATCTAGCATTGAATATATTTTGATAGTTTCTTTGTTTTATGTTAAAAATATTACTATATTTTTAATATAAATTTGGTCAAAGCTAAAAAAAGTTTAACTTAGAAAAAAAATTACAATGACTTATAATAGAAACAGAGGTAGTAGAAAATATGCGACGTTAAATAATTTGATAAATAAATAGAGAAATTTTATGGTTCTGGAGAGGTACCAAAGTACCAAAAATTTTATTGTAAAATTCAGTACCTTCTTATACCTAGTTAGTAAGAGATACCAAAATTTACATGAGAAATTTTATGAGAAAAAAATACATTACAAATGTGGTAACTTCTTAAGGGCAGTAAAATCACTTGAATAAATAGGAGTAACATGTTGACAAGTGCATGACACTCATTGGGTACGTGTGAGTTGGCAATTACAGCGACAAGATTCTTTTTGTTTTCTTGTAGACTGTTTTCTAATTAGTTGTGCTTCACTTGATTCTAGCAATCGCCTTCTAGGCGATAGCAACTGAAATGAATGGAGTAATATATAACTCTAGGTGTGCTTCTTGCCAACTTTGCTTGCATGATTTCAACTCAGATAAACAGATAAAGTATTGTAAGATAATTACAGTGCATGTCTTTCTCATGATAAGGAAAGGGTGAAAACAATAGTGCTGTGTCCAATTCACAAGTTACTAGTACTGGCATAAGATATTTTGCTGAAAATTTCATTCTGAAAAGGATGTGATAAACCCATGGTCTGATCAAAATACGCTACTTAATCGAATAGAAGAATAGATATGCAAACTATTGCTGACAGCGTTAGAGATGCAAAGTCCAGCCCACTTAATCGAATTTTAACTAAAGGTGACAAGTCCCCATGCATTTGAGCAATTTGCAGAACATTTCAATGCATTTGGATCAGCTAAAGAAAAATCCCCTTCGCACTGAATCACATGGTTAGATTCTCTCTGCAGTCCACGAGTACTGCAAAATAAAAATCAGCAAATCTGTGGGTCTTTACCAGTCTTATCTAATCCTGTGTGCGCCCATTGGTTTCCATTTATTAATGAAAAATAATTCTTTGATCAGTATTCAGTATAATGTATAGACCTTATGTTAGAGAGAGATTTAAACACAGATACATTGAAAAATTGGACATGTTTCTTGAATTGTAGTCACCTTGCTACCTACTGCAGGTGCTGAATTCTGAATTGCTGACTAGGTAACTATTGTCCATTTAGATTAGTCATGATGATATTTTTTTAGAGTAAATTGCACTTTGGTCCACCTTTTATTATCCACGTTTCAATTTGAACCACCCTTAAACCTATCTTTTTAATTTGGACCGGGTAAATTTATCATTGTTGCGATTTGGACTACCATGAACAACTTTTTCTCGTTATGTCTAAATTCCCTTTCGGTAAACATATGAGCCATACATAGAGGAGTTCGGCCGTATATCAGAGCTGATGTGTTTAAGGTCGTGCTGAAAAAGATCATTCGTGGTGGTCCAAATCGCAACAATGATAAATTTATTTGGTCCAAAGTGAAAAGATGTGTTTAAAGGTGGTCCAAAGTGTAATTCGCTCTTTTTATATTTGAACCTTGTTCTGAGCCAAATTAATACAGTTGTTAACGAAAATTTGTCATTGCCAAATGCTTGACCGTTCATTTACCTGTCATGTCACCTTGTCAAATCCTTGCCAGTTGTCAATGATTATGTACTCGTTGGTGACCCAAGAATATTCTTCAGAATTTCTTTTTGTTTTGAGCAATGAACATGGCGTCTGATGTTGGATGCCACTCGATCTAGCAAGCTGGGTTTGTTTGTTACTCCTTTTTCTTAAACATAAATGTGACTATCAGCATATATCATGGCATACGTAAGCTTGCTCTTACCTAGTACTCCCATTGATTAAATTACTTACTTGAGATCAAAATAATGGAGTATTTAATTACTTTAGATAAAAAAATGGAGTGTTAAATTGTCTGGTGCTTACGATCTACAGACATGGACTGATAGTGATGGATAAACTGAATAGACCAAACACAGTGAATTTATCTATCCCTTTTTCGGTCAGTATTTCTAGTGCGGTGGTAAAATTTAGTGAAGAATTACAATATCTCCGGTTGTTAATACTGTACCTCAAATGATAATGCAGCTTCCTCTAAATCACAACAAATGGCAGCTTCACTTAAGATTCTTATTAAACTTCGGCAATTTATTAATAGAGTAAATTAATATATTATATAAGTTTGATGTTAATTCTTTTCTAAGGAAAAATGTTCATACATACAACTGCTAATTAAAAGAACACGTGTAGCAAATGCTGGTATTACCATGCTTTATTCAGATAGTAGTGAGTACGAAGTTAGTATGTTTGACTAGTGCCATTAATTTTCAGGTCTATTGTACTATTATTAAAAAACATTGATGATGACATAAATATATCATGCAGACCCATGTGTTATTAAATTAACTCCGTCAGGTTTTTTTCCCCTTCTAAAAAAGAGAAGCATGAGCTCTGCTAGTCACTAAAGGTAGAAAGTAGAGTAAGGTTTGCAGAACTTAGTGCCCTTATCTCTGTGAAAAAGTGTTGTATCTGTTGATTTGTTTGCTAACAGAAAGGCCATTTCTTTATACCCCCACCCTTTCTAAAAAAATATTGCTATCTAATAGTATAATATTTTCGGATGAAGGGAGTAATTTTTACATGGAAATTTATGCACATTGTTTCACAAATTTATCATGTTCCCGCAGTGTGGTTCTATCCATTTCTTTCTCTAAAGCTCGAAACCCTTAACAAGTTGACATAAATAATAAGAGCACCGCTACATGTTCTATTTTTTTCTTACTAAATTTTTACTAACAATCGTCTTAACCGTTTGATTTAGATAGATGAAAATTAAAAAATTCTAGATGCAATTATTGCGTGACACATTATTGTTAGTAATAAGAATTTAGTAAGTAAAAGTTTATATTTATAGCTTTTCCCCATAAATAATGGTGGATTCTTGAATCTTGATTCCCTGCCGTGATTAAGAAATTAATTTGGTTTCTCGATTTTCTTAGTGCGAGCACCCACAATCACACATAATCAGTGGCACCTAATTAACGGAACTGAAAGTCTGAGATATTAGATGATTAGTGTAAGTCATTGTTATGACAAAGCATTGCATGGCAAGGGGTTGCCTTAATGGACTGGATGAACTTGGGGTTCCACGTCAGTCGTTTTCTGCAGAACAGTGTGGCTACTTATGTCCACTAATTGGCGTGTGGATCTGAATTTGTCATCGGCTGCATTTACAATTGATCAACCAGTAGGGGATGAGGGATGAAATGAGTAGATTACTTTTGATTAAGCAAGTAACTAAGAGTCATTATCACCTTTTATCTGTATAATCACATAAACATCTTATGTATCTTTCTTTGCTGCTCCTCCTTGATTGAACAGGCATAGCTGCCATTAATATTTTCGACAGAGAGAAAAGAGTCATTGTCATTCAGATATATCTAATCACGGAATTAGGGAGGGAAATCTTCGTAGTGAGACTCTCCTAGTGATTGGTCACATACTGAATTCTTTTCTGAAAGGTATAACAAGCGGGTCAACATCAAGAGAGAACCTAATCTAGAGCATTATTGTTGTCTACTCCGCCAAATCTGGTGTGTCACAAGTTTTTGCTTGTGCCAACAAGACCGGGCCAATACTGGATTTCTTTTTTTTCTCCATCCCTTTGCAAAATACGGTACAAACACAAGCGTTTATATCTACGTTCTTTTATGAATAAGCGCATATAAAGCTTATCCCTATAAACACGTTTATAAGATTGGGTTGGTAATATCTTAATATTAACAAAGTTACTATTGATATCTCATGATCACATCAACCATTAAAAATTAATTAACTGTAAGCTAGTGGATGGTTGATCTCCTCCAGAAACGCAGCATCAATAGTCACTCGGATGCCTCTTTTGCGCTCAGGATCTTGAGACGGCGAACCACATTCTCCTCGACTGCGTGTTTGCTCAGCAGGTCTGGCTCCGTGTACTGTCGTCTTCTGGATGGGTTGCCCTCTCTCCCTCGTGGCAGCTGGTTCTAGGACTGGTGGCCGTCCTCCAGGGCCTATTTACCTGAGCATCTCCGCGCTAGCTTCGACTCCCTGGTGCTCCTTGTCTCTTGGCAGCTGTGGAATGAACGGAACTCTAAGGTTTTCGACTTTGCACTATTTTCAGTCACCGTGGTTCTGGAGTCCATCCACTCGGAGGGTCATATGTGGTCTTTAGCTGGTGTAGCCGCTTTTTGGGACTTGTTAGGAGTGTAGCGTGGCTCAGCCCTTCCCGCTACTTGGAGTTTGTGTTTAGCCGCCGTAGTTTTCTAGCTTCAGTTTTTTATTTCGCTTTTTCTCCCTTCCCTTGGCATAAACTGGTCTGGTTAATTGCGTTGTGTAACTATAACTTTTTTCTTCTAATATATTAACGTGCAATCTTTTCGCACGTTCGCGAAAAAAAAACTGTAAATACGAGCATTGCATCGGTATACTCTCGATATTTGAGAATCGGTACCTATTTAAACATTTCGAAGACAATCTAAAACTGCACCCTTCGAGGAAGAAAAAGGCATCAAAGTAAAAGAAGAACATTTTATTACTTGGCGAATGGGGATGTGTGCTGAACAAGTAAAATATCTGCCCAAGAGGCCAAAATGGCCGTTGAGCGTTTTCCTGGCTTGCGTGTTGTTCACAATAAATCGCAATAAATCAAATAAAAATAAAACTGCACACGATGCATCATCCGTCACCATCTTCACACCTCACTAATTCATTACATGCGTTTGTTTTTCTCTTTTTATCATCAATATAGCTAACCGGTCTCCGTGCACACAATATTTTCTCTAGAAATTTCTAGGTTCCGTTTCTTGTAATCTCACATCCATTAATTCCATAAATCCCCAATTGTCCATATATACTAGCAACAGAAAGTTCAGACTTTTGTTTCAGAAAAGGCCATAAAGTTACTCATTTTAATTTCTCCAGGGAAAGAAAAAGTAACAAAGCTCTAACTTCCCGTGTCAAATATGTGCACCAATACCCACAGATTATACAAGACATGATTAGCACCGGTAAAAAGTGGGCATTGACACGTCCAAATGCACGAGAAGTTTGTACTTTTTTTGTTGCTGTTTTGTTTCGTCTATGCAAAAACCAAAAATAAAAAGGAATTTGTACAACTGAAATGATGATGAACCACAAGAAAAGAAAAACATTGGTGTGGTCCCCACGTAATTAGCAAAAAAAAAAGAAGGAAAAAAAACAAAGGCTTTGTGGCTATTTAAGCCGCTTCTTCTCCTCCATTTCTCCATCCATCCATCCATGTCGTGTTGTTAGCTTCGTTTTCTTCTTGTTTCATCAATCCAAGGAGTGTGGAAGGCCACACGCCAAGATTATATCTATGCTAATTTGATTAGCAGTAGGATTAATTCAGTGGCTAGCGTAGCTTGATTAGTTGGTTTAATTAGTTGGAGAGTAAAGAAGATGTTGGGAGTGTTCAGCGGCGACGTGGTGGAGGTGCCGGCGGAGCTGGTGGCCGCCGGCAGCCGGACGCCGTCGCCGAAGACGCGGGCGTCGGAGCTGGTCAGCCGCTTCCTCGGCGGCGCCGAGCCGGCCGTGTCCGTGCAGCTCGGCGACCTCGGCCACCTCGCCTACTCCCATGCCAACCAAGCCCTCCTCCGCCCAAGGTACTAATCATCCTGTTCCTCTGAATAATACAGCTTTTGATTAATTGTAGCTGAATTTGCTTAAGTTCTACTGTTCTTCACCATGGATTTCTCAAGATCTAACCAAGGACAGAATCAGTGATTGCTTTCATGTGTTCTTCCTGAGTCAGAGTCATTTACTATATGCTTTTACTCTTTGGTTAGTGAAGTCTTCTTTAGCTAGTGATGATCAACTGATCATGTCATAATAGCTCTCAATATTTTATTTTATTTTAAAGGGGACTCCCAAATCCCAAGATCCGAGTGTCTGACTAAATCAGAGAAAAAATAGTTTCTTATCGTAACACTTTGCTGATTGTTTCGAAGGGAAAAAAATCACGGGGTTGGTAAAACATATGCTTAGAATGAGCGGGTGTTTGGGATGTGGTACCCATCTGGGGAAAAAAATGATTTCATCTCAAGTAATTCAGTAACTTAAACAGGCTTTTACCACAAAAAAAAACACAAAATGGTTTTTTTTTCTGGGTACGGCACACATCTTGAGTCAATAATTGGGCAGTTTTTCTCCTCATATAAAGGCAGGTTTGCTTTCGTAAGACAAACTGAACAATAAATACAACTCCATAATCCATTTCTGTAGGTTGAGGGGCCAAGCTACCAAACCTCATATTCAGTTCATAGATTCTCATCCGAATTATGGGTCGCATGTCTGAGATGATAATTACATGATTAACTATGGTATAGATTTGTTTGTTTCAGAAGTAGAATGCTAAACAAAGAAGAATATGCAGAGATTTTTTGAGAACTAAATGCACAAAAGTAACTATCAAAAATAGTAGTTTTGCCTTGGTGCTACGATATCTGAATCTTTCTTGCCATGGCACTCCGGTAACTAGGACTCTCTTGCCACGTGTTACGGTATCCTGGCATCAAATGGTTGGTGCCTTGGTATAAAAAACGAGAGCAGAAGAAGACATGAAAGAAAAAATATAATCAAAATGTCTATGTCGATGTGGACATCATCACATATCAATGGAAGAAGTCCACATCATGCCACCTTCCACAAACAAGGTGTTAATTGACCTAACAACGAACAAGAACTTATATTCTTCACTAGGAATCTAATGGTATTTCAATGTATTAGATATAGTTTAAGAAAAGGGATAGGCCAGGATGATCTATTTCCAAGTCTTTCAAAAGAAAAAGGAGACAAGATAGTGTTGGTTGTTGGACAACTTACTAGGTTGCTTATGAAAACCTCTCTTGATTTATGCATTTACCTGGTATTATTGTGCTGTTCACATGGCCCAGTTCATAGTAGAGGGCACTAACTTTGCAATCAGTTGCTAATACCAGAAGTCTATCCAGTTTTGATACCCACAGATCTGAAAGGAAAAGGCTGGACTAGGTGACCCATATGGTCAATCAATCCACCACTATGATTTGTGGGCCTGGTTACTCTTTGTTCATATCTTATCTAGTACTAGACAGATTCAGTGAAGAAGTAGCATCCAAGGAATTCCACTCCATTGCTCCAATTTTTCCAGTACAAGCATCTTTGTCCTTATTGTAACTAGTAGTAGTACAATCTTCAATGTAGTACAATTCAATGTTAGGTACATCTTACCCAGATCAAATCATTGATGTTGCACCTAATTCTTTTCACTCTCCAATTATTCTTAAAGAGTAGAAATGCTGAGCACTAATCAAGCATACTAATGCTGTTCCTGAATGCCAATATATGTTCTTTTCTCCTATGTTACTATTAAGATGCATGCATCATAATACAGTAGTTATGTCCTTTTCCTTTCTGTAAAAACCTTTATTCCTCTTAATACAAAGATACACAAATCTTTTGCCTATTCCTGAAAAACAGTAGCTGGTTGAGTAACATATGCAGCTGTCTTGATTTGTGCAGGTCATTTGCAGCAAAAGATGACATCTTCTGCCTGTTCGAGGGAGTCCTGGACAATCTTGGCAACCTGAACCAGCAGTATGGTCTGTCCAAGGGTGCCAATGAGGTGCTCCTTGTGATCGAGGCGTACAAGACGCTGAGAGACAGAGCACCTTACCCTGCTAGCTTCATGCTCTCGCAGCTCGCCGGCAGCTACGCCTTTGTGCTCTTCGACAAGTCCACCTCCACCCTCCTTGTGGCCTCTGTAAGTTTTGTTCATCACTGAATGCTGTTGCTGCATCACTTCACTTGCATTGTCAGTGCCTGAAGATTTGGTTGATTTTGGTTACAGATTATGACGTGTTCTTGTGCTGTGATTTGCTTTTTCAGGATCCGGAGGGAAAGGTGTCTCTGTATTGGGGGATTACTGCTGATGGATCTGTTGCCTTCTCTGACAACATTGACCTGCTTAAAGGATCGTGTGGCAAGTCTCTTGCACCTTTCCCACAAGGTAATGTTTAAACTTTGAACAGTAATGCAGCGACGAAAGATGAAGCATTTACTATAAAATTTGATCTCTAACTATTGATTTAGTTAGGCACAATTGACCTTTTCTTTGTTTCTGTTCACTAATTCATTTCGGTTGCAGGCTGCTTCTATTCCAATGCTCTTGGAGTTGGAGGCTTGAAGTGCTATGAGAACCCAAAGCACAAGGTGACCGCAGTTCCTGCCAAAGAAGAAGAAATTTGCGGTGCAACCTTCAAGGTAAAAAAATAATAATAATAATTGATGGCAACCTAAATACTTAACTGAATACATTGTAACCGACTGATGTCAAATGGTGTTTTCAACCCTTTCTTGGGTCGATGTGCATCTCTTCTTTATCAATGAAATGAGGCAGAGCTTCTGCCTTTGTTCAAAAAAAAAAAACATTGTAACTGACTATTTTCTCCTGCATTTCGTCTGAACTCAATAGACATTTTTGGGTGCACTGTTAATTAACACTTTTGATTTGATATATGCAGGTGGAAGGATCTACAATCCTCACAGCGCTGCATTAGGAGATTTTTGGATCTCCAGCTGTTGTTGGGAAAGGAAAACTCTGTAGTCTGTAAATGGTGGTGTAACATAGTCGCAAGGCATGCATCTGATCTGTATCATCATCTTCCGTAAAGACTAGTGCTGCCAGCATGGTTAGCACTTTTCAGTGTTTGGGTGTGTGTATGATCTGTATCCTATGCTGTTCAGGCGGAAATGAACTTCAGGCCCAGCTGTGTCAGTTGAATGTAGTTGTGTTGCAAATAAGTTTTTCTTGTTTGTTATCACTGTGATTGTGTCTTATGCAGTTATGCTTGTTGCCGGATACTATTCATACCACAACCTTAACCACTCCTATTTTAACAAAAATATTTTAAATGTTTAAAAATGTATTATATTATTGAAATATGTTACATGCTAAAAATTTTCTTTACATAATGATATGATCTAGTAGTACCACCTAGGAATAATATGATCTTACCATAGCCATGTAAGTACACCAAACCAGATTTACTTCCATATTGGGCATTCAAACAACAAGTAATTTATGGTTTCCAGATTCCGGAAACATAGCTGGTAGAAATAATTATTTGACCATCCCCTAAGTTGCAAACGATCTATTGTCCATACCCGATTTTGTAGCGCAAGCCAACTAAATATCTGCATTTTGCTAGAACCCACGCCTTCCAAATCAACTCTGCGGATGGCGACGCTATCATTCCGTTGAATTGAAACTGATAAGCGGATTTTGTGCTATACTTCCCATTGGCTGTCCTTTTCTAAACCATAGAGTTCTCTACTACATCTGTCAATTCTAAAGATTCATGCGTTCGAGCCCCTCATACTTGAAAGAACTCTCTGAGTTAAGGTTGTGACATATGTCATTTACCCACCTTCTTGTTGCAAGGGCTCCTGGATTGTGTGGTCTTCCTCTTGGTGCTTCTGTAGAGGTCTGGAGCTAAGTTTTGAGGCTTTGAACACTAATCCAATTTGATTTCCAAAGATCGCTTTTCACTCATCACTATCCAGTACTTTGGTCGATGCTGCAAACAAATTTCGAAAAATTATAGGTCAGGTTGACACGAGAACTGGGCCAGCTCTTAGTCGGCACAGAAGCTTTTTGGGCCGCAGAAATATTTTCGTGGGCCTGATTCGCCGATCAAAGCCTAGCAGAAATTTGGTTGGGCTGGTATATATGGACCGCTACATCCAAATTCATGTGAGCCAACATGGCCCGCACCTTCCATCAGGCCCATACTGGAATAAAACCCAAGTGAAACAATGGGCTTTTCTCAACCAGCCAAACTCGGGGGAGGAGGCTATGTGGGCTGTAAGGTGGCCGGACAGTGGACGAATCGGGCTTTAATTTGTCAAATGTCGTTCATGCAAATAGGCTACAGCCCTTACATGCTTCCACACCAAAAAGAAAAAAGAAAAAAAGAGAGAGAAAATTTAGAGGGAGAGACATTCCTCCAAACAATTTTTAACAAGAAAAATTGTAAACGTGTTAGAGATTGAATATGAGACTTCGATATTGAAACCACACATCTCTTGTCACCAGGCTTTACTAAATCATTTGGGATGGGGTTACTACCACCTCACGATTTGATGGTTACCGTGCTAACCGCGCAATTACTATGAAAACCGCACGGTTAACGCGATGTATACCGTGATTTTAAAAACTAAAAAGGTTACCGTACGTGACAACCACGATAACTATACGGTTTTGTAAACCTTACATGTCACCGTACTATCATGCTTCCACGCTTTCTGATGTTCGAAAGGAGCAAAAATTTTCTTCATTTTCTAAACAAAGGCAGAACCCATGCTTCATTTTATATTGGTAAAGAAGAAATACACACGAACACAGAAAGCGTTCACGCCGAAAACACACCATCGGAACTTCGGAAGAAGCAGAAATTTCACCCCTGAATTGGAGTAGTACTCTTATTGATCAAACAAACAGAGAAAATCGAACGTGAGAATGGATTACCGGAAATACTAGCAAAAGCTGCGACGAAATTTTCGGTGAATGAAAGAAATGATGTTCTTGATCGACCCAGCTGGGCTGAATGCTCAAGTAGCCGAAGATCGTCAGCGAAATGGGTCGACACCATTGTGCACTTGCCTGCAGGTTCCAATGTTCAGTAGGCCTCCAAAATATCTAGCCTTTTGATATTCTGATCTCTGAATAATACCATCCCCGCTTTCTGACGTCTATTCACCACCATCAGAAATTTCCTTTTTGAAAGATCCAGATTAGTATAAATCCTCTCCTTGTCTTGAAAGATCCGGATCAGAAAATTCTCTTTTCAGTTCATTATTCCATACCTGCCGAATCTCAAATCTGTGCTTAGATTCAGCGTAAATTTTTTTACCGTGTAAAATCGGATATACGGACACACATTTAAAGTATTAAACATAGTCTAATAAAAACAAATTACCGATTCCACCGATAGATATTTACTACGAGATGAATTTATTAAGCTTAATTAATCCGGCATTAGCAAATATTTAATGTAGCACCACATTGTTAAATCATGGAGCAATTAGGCTTAAAAAATTCATCTCGCAAATTAGTCGTAATCTGTGCAATTAGTTATTTTCTTAACGTATATTTAATACTCCATGCAGGTATTCAAACGTTCGATGTTACAAGGTGAAAGTTTTTGCGGTGGGATCTAAACAGGGTCTAATACCGAATGCTCTTTTTGGTTTTGTTATTTCACTTAAGATAGATTTTTTTTTACTCCTATCATTTTAATTTTCATATGTATAATCTTACATCAAGATTCGTTTTCATGTAGATTCAACTTACAATTAGACTTAATTATAAAGCACTTACACTCAATTACAATATATCGAAATTAGATTTTATGACTGTTTTTTCTCTGAATTTACGATTTTTAACATGTTTTTTTATTCATTCAAAACGAATTTTATCTATTAATTAAAAATTGAATAAGATTTAAACCCCTGAATCTATCAGAAGATTAATAGATAGTCCCACGTTCTTTTCCTTTCGACCGAGTTTAGTTACAAAATTTTTCTTCAAACTTTCAACTTTTCCATCACATCGAAATATTTCTACACACACAAACTTCTAACTTTTTCGTCATATCATCCTAATTTTAACCAAATTTTTAATGCGGTGACGAGTTACAGCGCATTATTACAACGCCGTAAAAACTGACATGTAAAACGGGCAATTGTGGAGGTTGAAGGTACTGTGGGGCAGGGCAGCAGCAAAATGGCATGTGCGGGGGCCACCCGAGGCAGCAGATGCCATGTGACCCCTGTCGCCTCCTCTCCTCCATCAAGCTCAGCCGTTCCAGCAGCCAAAAATTTCCATGCTTTCTCACGAGCTCATCAGAGAGCAGCTCTCTCTACTGATCAAGCAACCGATTCTGATGCACGGTAAACTCGTTTCTATCCGACGGTAATATTTCGGCTGTCAAAATGCAAACTGCAGCTCCCATCGATCAATCTTCTTAAGAAATTCTTCAGTTTAATTTACGCGTAATTTTATCATTCTTAACACTTAGTAAGTATATAGAAGTAATATACAATTTTCTAATGTAAAATTTGGTATCTTTAACATTAAAATTTGAAGTGTAAACTTTAGCTACCTAAAGATTTCTTAAGAAATTCTTACGTTTAATTTATAGGTAATTTTATCATCTTTGGTAAGCATATAAAGGTAATATATTATTTAGCGTAAGATTTGGTATCTCAAGATACTTTATTAGTATCCTCAAGTATCAAAATTCTGGTGTAAACTTTATCTACCACAAGATATGCTCCAACCGTAAAATTTCTCTTACTTTACATACCGATGATGTTTGTGTTCTGCTTCTAAACTATTGTATGATCATATATGGAAGGAGAGCTGGTGAATAATAATTAAACCAGTTACTAGCTAGCTAAACTGAAGACAAAACAAAAGGGAAAAGATCATTGCGTGCAGGAAGGTTCGGATTATTCTAGCAGAGTGCTCTTTTTACTCTAAAGCAGCAGTAGTAGTTAGTTAAAGACAGCCTTTTCTTTTTCTCCTTCTAGATCGTGAGAATGTGATCAGATATATTCATATACGTAGACATCACTTTGCAAAGTGCAGTAGCTTAAAGTATGCTAATTAAGCGGCAGCATGGAGGCATAATTTGCTCGATCAGTGATAGGCTGATAGCACGTGATCGATGCTAGTCGCCATGATTTCTGGTGAGTTGATTACTCCACACTAATACTGCTGCTCAATAGTGGTTTGTTCAGGCTGATTGTACTGAGTACGTACTCTCTCTGTTTAAAACAAAATCAATCTAGATAAAACGTAGGAAAATGAATTATAAGGTTATCTAAATTTATTGTGTATTGTTACATCCAAACCTACTCATGTAGGTTAATTTTTTTAGATAGAGGGAATAGTCTGTTCATATTGCTTGTATTAGTAGACTATAGTAAGTACTTTCTTTTGTGTATAGAGTAGGGTTCTATGTCGGCTGTAAGGGTTGGGTTTTGAGCAATCCCGGCTGTACATTCTTTCTTGCCCTAACGGTGGCCAGTCACGCTTAGCGACGGCCGGTCCGGTGCTAGCCTTCTCCAGGGTCTGTGTGTTGGTGTTGTCGGTGCGTGGGTGGTGGTATAATTTTCTTTGTTTTCAGGTTACAACTGAACGCGCAAAGATGTAGCCTAGAGGGGGGAGTGAATAGGCTTTCCTGAAATTCACAAACAAATCGCAGCGGTAAAATTCAGCAGGACCAAAACTTCCGGGTGTGGAATACCGGAACTTCCAGTCTGCTCAGATTGTCCGGAACTTCCGAGCAAAGAAAAACCTGAAGATCTAGCAGAGACTTAAACTAATTTGCATGAATTAAACTACAGGAAGACAGAGCAGATACACAATCACAGCAGCATGCACAGAATCATCACAGAGAAGACAAGGGGAATTTTTTCCCGAAGTTCGGATCTTTCAATTCTACTCTCCGTTGAGATGCTCCAAAGAGCCGGGTCTCGATTAACCCCCTGCCTCACCTGTGCAAAGAACCCAGAAGAAGTCCAAGGCCTTAAACAAAACACTCCTAGGTCATTTTCTAGAATTTGAATGACCACCAAGATCCAACTCACAAATACTTCTAGAAAATACCACAAGTGCAAGTTGTTCTACCAAGGAGAACCTCTGAAATCTTTGCACAAGAATCTTTACTCACTTACCTCGTTTCCTTGCGGAGGTGAGGAAAACCTTCACCAACTTTCCCGGGACATCCACAAGATTTTGGAAGCTCGCGGGCAA